GTGCACACTACAGGCTGTTAAATGTAACACTGATCAGTGTTGGAGTTAATGAGATAATTAAGTGATTGAATATGATTGAGCATTATTGAACACACCTAAAGCAGAATCACTGAAGGAGAAAATTGTAAGCCACCGTTATGGCGATCATTGTTTGCTTTAGTTGGGCTCTTGACCCTTATATTATTAATTTTAGATTTTGTTTGGCTGTGGTTTATGACTTATAACTGCCAGATGAAAAAAAAAAAAAAAGTGATGTAATGGTGTTGGTTATATTATGACAGTCATGGTTTGAACATAATCATGCTGTGATCTGAAAAATTTAACTTATTGAGATTATCTGGTTTATCTTGTTAGCAACAGCTTTGTGATTATACAGCAAATGATCATCAGTATTTTTTTTATCCAAAATATTTCATAAACATTGTTCTGATCAAAACACTTTCAAATAAAATTATTTAGAAACACATCAATAATCAGTCTGTGAATCTCAAAAATGGTGACAATAATAATGCATGTTGCAGTGGCTGCCACCAATCACAACTCATTATTGGCTCCCATCATGCATTGCGGTATGAATAAATTATGATTTGAATTGTCTATGTAATTTACTTTTCCTAGTTGAATATTCTGCTCGTCACCATTGTTGAGATGCATTGACTGAATCTTGACGTCTGTGTGTGCCTAAAAGAAAGATTATTTTTAAATAACTTTTAAGAAATCCTTTATATTACATCTAAAATTCTGGATATTTATGCAGAATCACAGTTACGCTATAACCAACAGCATAAATCACTAAACATAAGGTTCAAACGATGACTGTCATAATATAACCAACACCATTACATCACTTTTTTTTTTTTTTCATCTGGCAGTTATAAGTCAGAAACAACAGCCAAACAAAATCTAAAGTTAATAATATAAGGGTCAAGAGCCCAACTAAAGCAAACAATGATCGCCATAACGGTGGCTTACAATTTTCTCCTTCAGTGATTCTGCTTTAGGTGTGTTCAATAATGCTCAATCATATTCAATCACTTAATTATCTCATTAACTCCAACACTGATCAGTGTTACATTTAACAGCCTGTAGTGTGCACACTGAGCAGTGTTCATTTCATCTGGGCAAACCCATGTGGGGCCTACATGGAAACCGGGAGCAAAACTGGCTGGGTCCCAGTTAGATAGCCCACGTCAAACCCATGTGGGCCCCACATGGCTGTGCTGGCTGGGTAGGAATAGGAAATTACTAAGACAATTCAGATCATAATTTATTCATTCCGCAATGCATGATGGGACCTATGAATGAATGAGTCATTCATAAATTCACCCTGTCTGTGTTTGCGCAGCGACACGGATTGGATCACGGAATCCACTCACAAATGTAACTTAGCCTTACTGTAAAGCGGAACTTCACGGAATTTGGCCATTTTTGAATGAATAAATCATGTACTAGTGTCTATGAATATTAAAGCTCAAAAAGAATGCTATTGAAATAAACTCTGCATGTTTTCAATTACCCTCAATTACCCCTTTTCCACCAAAGCATTTTGAGAGCCGGTTCGGAGCCGGTGCCTACTCGCTAACCAGTTCTTTGTTTTTCCACAGTCAAAGAACCGGTTCTCGGCCAGGAAAATTGGTTCCAAAGCGGCACCAACTCTTTACTGGACTAAAACCGTTCTTTTACATGACACCACGTCATGCTTACGTCGGGGGCTGGGGGCGGGGTTATTGTGACCAACAACACGACGGGAATGGGAATGCATTTACTGTGGTACACTGTAAAAAAATCCTAATTTTACAGAAAATAACTGTGATTTTTTGACGATCATTGTTGTACTCAAATGTGCCAATATTGCAGTTCTACAAGGTAGGCGGCTAGAAATGCCAAAGTATCTGACAACATTATATGCTTGTTTTGTGATGATTTCATCATCATTAACATGAAGCTGATAACACCTGATGTTACTTATTCTTGGCTTTCTTTGCAACATCAGTTGCAAATAACAGTGTGTTTAACAAACATACAGTTACAGCAGCCAAAGAAAAGCTAAAGTAAAAATAAAGGGGACCAAGAGCCCAACTAAAGCAAACACTGATCACCACAATGGTGACACTTCAAATGAAACAAATATCAACATCTAAACCTCTGCTAATTCTCACTAAGATCATCTGACAGCAATAGTCAAAGTAATTATGTCTAAATGAGACCATAAATTATGTAAAAAATATGTCCACAATGGCCACATTTGAACAAGTTTTTAACCTTGTAGGAAGAGGGTCCATGAACGTCTATATCGGACGTGCAGAACACGTCAAAAAAGACGTCATAAAAACTTTCATTCTGGCTCTTCAGTGGACGTCTTTTCAACGTCCGACTTTTGTGACAAAGACGTTGAAAAGACGTCTTTTGGACATCATTGTGTTTAGTGGGAGAAATCTAAATGTAGAGTTTCAATTGGATGTTTTTCCCAATTTAAAAAATCAAATTTGATAGAAGGACCCCACACTTCACTGCCATATAAAACAATTGGTTCAATTATTGATTTGAAAAGTTTGAGCCAAATTTGGATTGGTATGTCAATTTTGATTGATCTTTTTATGGCATAGAAAGCCCTTTGAGCTTTCTCTTTGAGTTCATTCACAGCCAAAGTAAAGTTGCCAGTTGGAGTTATTTTCAGGCCGAGGTAAATGTATGTTTTTGTGCTCTCAATGGTTCTGTGTGATAGTGTGAATGTGTGTGTTGGTCCCTGAGATCTGGAGCGTTTCTGGAACATCATGACTCTAGTTTTCTGGAGGTTGACGGTCAGGGCCCAGGACTGACAGTAATCCTCCAGCAGATCCAGGCTGTCCTGAAGCCCCTCTTTAGTGGGCGACAGGAGGACCAGGTCGTCTGCGTAGAGAAGACACTTGATCTCTGTGTCGTGTAGAGTGAGACCTTGAAAGGGAGCATGTTCTAACGTATCGGCTAATTGGTTGATGTAAATGTTGAAGAGGGTGGGGCTTAAACTGCAGCCCTGTCTCACTCCGCGCCCCTGGGGGAAAAATTCGGTTCTTTGGTTTCCAATTTTAACAGCGCATTGGCTGGCTGTGTACATCGATTTGATCAAATCATAGAATTTCCCCAAAATTCCACTGTCGATAAGTTTTAGGTTTAATCCTTTGTGCCAGATTGAATCGAATGCTTTCTTGAAATCAATAAAACAAGCAAAAATTTGTCCTTTGTTTTGATGTACATATTTGTCAATTAGTGTTTGTAATGTAAGGGGTGGCGATGGCGCAGTGGATAAGACACATACAGCTACAGCTGCCAGAGAAAAACTAATTTTAAAAAGTCAAGAGCCTAACTAAAGCAAACGCTGGTCACCATAATGGTGACATCAAACCAAACTATTATATTCATTAAATCATCAACATCTTAAACTCTGTTAATTCTCAATAAGAAATTCTGTAGACGTCTACCAGAAATAAAGTCAACCTGGTTAGTAATAAGTGAAGCTGGTAATGCTGTTTGTGGAGTTGTTTAATCAGATCTTGAGAGATTTTGTGTATTTTATCTTTAGTTGATTTCATCTAAGGCTGTGGCTGGAAGTAGTTCTTGTGTTTCTCTTTCATTCAATGATTCTGCTTGTTAACAATAATGCTCAATCATTATTTAATCAATTAATTATCTCATTAACTCCAACACTGATATGTGTTACATTTAACAGCCTGTAGTGTGCACACTGAGCAGTGTTCATTTCATCTGGGCAAACCCATGTGGGGCCTACATGGAAACCGTGGACAAAACTGGCTGGGTCCCAGTTAGATAGCCCACGTCAAACCCATGTGGGCCCCACATGCCTGTGCTGGCTGGGCCGGGCCGGGCCGGACTCTGCTGTGGTCGGGCTTCAGCTGCTGGAGCTGTGGGGCTGTTGTAGGACGGTCTCGGTCTGTAAGGATCCTGTCTGGGTGCTGCACCTCGGTGTGCTGCTCCGCTCGGGGCTCTAGATGAGCTGTGCGCTGGGGTGTAGTTTGCTGGAGTGTGTCTCGATGGATTGGCTGGGTTCGGGCTGGTTCTGCTCCACCTGGGGCTGGTCTGGTTGGTCCTGTTTAGAGTGACATCTTTGAGTCTCTTTGCAAGGATATGTACCAGGTTCTTATAAAGGTGGACGTGGTCGTATAGACATTCAGTGTCCAGGTCTGGATGATGGGCCAAGTGGACGTTGGGCAGGAGGGCACAGTGTCTAGAGATGCTGGAGTTTATTTTATTTATTGTGTTGGGATGGAAATCTCTCCTCTGGAGTAGAGTGGACAGGATGATTTTAGAGTTGGGGAAAGTTTGTCTAGCTTTTCCCACGACAGCTCTGAGGGAGTCAGACTCTTCCTCGTTGGTTTTAGCATGAATGAGCGCTTCTGCTGCCCTCTGGCGGACTGTTTTAAAACAACACGCTCACGCACATATTTATAATGATTGTTCTAATAGTAGAATATCCTAAAATATATATATTTTTGAGAAGAAACCTGTTTCGATCATAGGCTGTAAATCTTTATCCAGTTATATTGCTACTGCGAGTTTGTTTGCGGTTTGCGCACCCCTTGTTTTAATTTCCCGGAAGTGATGTAGACGATGATGCGTGGTTTACGTCATGCTTTGTAATAATAAAACCGATGAAAAACAATATATTTCAAATAGTGTACCCCAAAAAGGTGAATTGTTTAACCCTTTCTTTCGAATTAGGTTTCAAAACTCTTATTATTGAGTTCTTATAATATGATGTTGAACATCTATTGTTCCATTGGCTGGTGGACGCTTGTGTTGCATCACGGGAAATTGCTCGACACAAAATAAAACGATACTTTTTTGTTTCTGTTGCTGCTGCTATTAAAAGCTTGATTAACAGCGAAACTTTAACAGGAATCTTCATCTAGTTGCCGTTGACTCGTATGGAGTTACGTGTCCCTCACCGTCACCGAGACTCGTGTTTGCTGAAGTCACTGTCCCTCAGACTCGCTTAGTAACTCATACGTACCTGGGAGGATAGACTCCATGATCACGTCAGTGGTTCTCTCAAGGCGAAACTCAGCCACTGCACTCCCGGGTCTGTTGACCTTTGTGAATTCTTCAAATGTGGAAATCTTACCTGCACGTTTTATGGTAGTGGGGTGGGGGACTGCGTACGAGCTCTCCCCCGATATACTGGTCAAGATCAAAATTGATAAGCGTTATAAAAAGATCTTACTCTACAATTATTTTTAATGTAGTAGGCCTACATATAATTTTCCGTTCGTAATGTTTTTATTTTCTACAACTTTATCGAAGTTATAGGATGCTTAATTTTCTGGGGTTTCTGTTGCCAAAAATAATGTTTAAAATTATTAATTGCGATTTGGACATCAGTGATACTAACAGAATTTGTCAATAAAATGTCACTATAATAATAACTCGTTCCACTCGTTGCGAAAATGTAATACATAATCAATAAACAGCGGTTTATCCCATGCACTTATGATTATAAACTGCTGTCAAGTGTATACATGATTTTGTTCCCCAATAACATGAGTACAGCTCTGAACTGTAAACACTGCTTAGTTTTCATCAGTCTGTTATTGTCCTGAAATAAATAAACTTGTAGTGACTTTATTTTGTTACAGCTGGTTACTGAGTTTAAATACATAATACTTTTTTATGTTTTACATTTTTCTATGTATTGTTCAGTGTTTTTAAAGCATCCACACAATACAACTACACAACACAATATAACTGTATAGTTACACAATATAACTAATATCTTTATAACACTAACAAACACACTGCTTTAAAACAGATCACAATCAATAATTAATTTATCAAAGCCATGATTAGTTGATTAAAGTTATTTCATATCATCATATTTAACTTCTGATAATATGCATTGTATGTTTTTTTGTTCATAAATTGAGGAATATGCTATTGTTTAATAATGTGGTATGTCAGATTAAATGCATAAATTAAGTTTTAATTAGGGGTACAATGTAATTTAGAGTATTTTAAAGTCAGATATGATATATTAGGTTATATACTGTACGGACTGTAACTTTCTGCAGCGATCAATTCCACAAGGTGAGCTATAGGCTAATCGAGCTAATCACGTGTCATTCGAGGGGCACAATCATAATAGATATTGATCTACTTCCGAATCACTAGTTTTTTGGGGTTTTATGCAGATCGTGACGTCCAATCATAGATATCCATAATAAAGGCTAGGGCTATATCCCAATTCGCCTACTTATACTACGCCCTAAAAGTATGTACTCTTTTTGTAAAGAAAAAGTACCGGTACATACTTTTGAGTGTGTAGCAAAAGAGTAGGCAAGCTTTGGGACATACTACTTCGTCATCTTTAACGGACAGCTCTGTCGCGAGCATCCTGTCACCGTCTGCCCTGTCAATCATCTCGTCACAGTTAAAATCCTTCATTCATTTCTTACCGTTTCGGAGAGAAATGTTGTCGTACATTCACCTGCCACTCGTGAGTCTTTTTCATATGGAGACTATTCTCATGTGTTTGCAATTTGAATATAATGATGCATTTAAAAGTTAATGGCTAAACGTATCTTTACAAAAGTTCACAATGCTGCTGCAGATGCAATATAATGTAGACAATATTGAATACATTTTCGTCAGGTTAGATACTGATAATTAATCACTCAAACCCCTTTATCTAAACCTCTCTACATAACCGCCGGACTCGCGCGTCCTCCTTGTCTGTAGTTTTTTAACACTTTTCACTCGTGTTTGTAGTTCTAACCGAATCCTCGTGTAACGCGCGATGGGTTGTGGGCAATATCAGCCGTTAGCCGTTAAAGTGCGCACCGATCTGCACTTCGGATTCTGACCGGATATAGTAGACCATCCGGGTCTCTTTGGAACACTCATTTCAACATACTACGATTTGGGACGTATTAATTCTATTTTCGAATACTATTTAGGACGGATAGTATGCGAATTGGGACGCAGCAATGAGTCTCTCGCTGAGGAAAGTGAGTCGCTCGCTGTGTGAGGAAAGTGAGTCGCTCGCTGTGTGAGGAAAGTGAGTCTCTCGCTGAGGAAAGTGAGTCGCTCGCTGTGTGAGGAAAGTGAGTCGCTCGCTGTGTAAGGAAAGTGAGTCGCTCGCTGTGTGAGGAAAGTGAGTCGCTCGCTGTGTGAGGAAAGTGAGTCGCTCGCTGTGTGAGGAAAGTGAGTCGCTCGCTGTGTGAGGAGAGTGATTCTCTCGCTGAGGAAAGTGAGTCTCTCGCTGAGGAGAGTGAATCGCTCGCTGTGTGAGGAAAGTGAGTCGCTCGCTGAGGAGAGTGAGTCGCTCGCTGTGTGAGGAAAGTGAGTCTCTCGCTGAGGAAAGTGAGTCTCTCGCTGTGTGAGGAAAGTGAGTCACCCGCTGTGTGAGGAAAGTTAGTCGCTCGCTGTGTGAGGAGAGTGAGTCGCTCGCTGAGGAAAGTGAGTCGCTCGCTGAGGAGAGTGAGTCGCTCGCTGTGTGAGGAAAGTGAGTCTCTCGCTGAGGAAAGTGAGTCGCTCGCTGAGGAGAGTGAGTCGCTCGCTGTGTGAGGAAAGTGAGTCTCTCGCTGAGGAGAGTGAGTCGCTCGCTGTGTGAGGAAAGTGAGTCTCTCGCTGAGGAGAGTGAGTCGCTCGCTGTGTGAGGAAAGTGAGTCACTCCCTGAGGAGAGTGAGTCGCTCGCTGTGTGAGGAAAGTGAGTCACTCGCTGAGGAGAGTGAGTCGCTCGCTGTGTGAGGAAAGTGAGTCGCTCGCTGAGGAGAGTGAATCGCTCGCTGTGTGAGGAAAGTGAGTCACTCGCTGAGGAGAGTGAATCGCTCGCTGTGTGAGGAAAGTGGGTCGCTGTGTGAAGCCTAGTTCACACTACATGATTTTAAGCCCGATTTGCAAATCGTTGAGCTCGCCGACAGGTCAGGGTGTTATCGCGTGCAAATCGCGAGGGATTAGCGGGCGATGAACGCTCGCCAATCTGTTAGTATGAAAGAGCCAACAACGCATCAAAGATGCTCGCAGACGCCTCGCAGACGTGAGTGAGTACGAATACAGATCCACCACTGGCTTATCAGTGGGAAAGTCAGTAGCTAGTGGCTATATAGTGACTTCCTACGACAAATCATTTGTCCTATTTTTGGACCCTCCGTCCCGCCATATTTTTGGACCTTTTGAACGCAATCACCTCTCTCTCCAACTTACACATCACCTCCATTCAAAATGTTTAACAAACACTCTTCTTGTTCGGGCTTCAGTTTGCGAATGCCGGGAATATTCTCCACAACAGAGCGAATTGCATCCCGTGTCTCCATATCCGCGGTCGTTTTCGATTTCCCTATCCTAAAATACAATCTTAAACTCTGCGCTTAGCGTCCACGTCACGGCTCTCAGCCCGCCCTCTGTTCGTTGATTGGCCGGCTGTTTTTAGGCCGGAGGAATACTGAGAGATAGGTCGCTATCTCAAGCCTAGTTCACACTACACTACATAGAACGTCGGGCTGAACTGTGCGATTCACACTACATGACTTGCTCTCTGTGAAATCAGGAGTGTTCAAGTTGTTGAGCTGTTCACATCCAGTGGTGTAAAGTAACGAATTACAAATTCTCTCGTTACTGTAATTGAGTAGTTTTGTTTAGGAATTGTACTTTTTTAAGTAGTTTAAAAACAGTGTACTTTTAATTGCTGTATTGCTCTGTATCTGATTGCTGTAATTGAGTACATTTTAAGTGCTGTATAGGTACTTTTACTGCGCTATTTTCCCTGAACCTGCCGTCGCTACATTTATATAAATATTTATTTTTATAATAAGTCATGTGACTCCATGCGTGATTCCCGTCAAATCAAATCGCGTGCAGAAAACTTTGCATCAAACCAGCATCAACAGACTTCGAGACACCTGGCGCCAATTTATTTTGCTCACGAAGTGACTTTCGGAGTGGATCTTGAGCCTGGAGGAAGTTCATGCATTCGTGTCTTCATATAGGCAAAAAAACAGCTCAAGCATCACACGTGCTTCAGTGTGTGTGTGTGTGTGTGTGGTAAATGAAACTGCGCGTCGGCTGCACCATTCAATTCACACAGAACATGCAGGATTCGTATTTAAATTGTCTTTGTGGTTTAATATTATATTCACACACACACACACACACTATATCGCGATTTGATTTTAAGTGTACTGAACTGCTTTCTATTTATTCCTCAAAAAATTTACAAATTCCGTGAAATTCCGCGTTATACAGTAAATTCCTTTTTTATGACTGGATTTTGTCAGCATTTAGGGGGGGTGGGGGTCGTCCAAAACAATGGTAGGGGAAACGCTGTATTTTTAGTGCTAGCAGTCAAAAATAAAACTGTTGGAGAAATATTGAAATACTGTTTCTTTTTTTCTATGAATCTGTGATAAAAGAGTAAGCTACATGTTCAATTTGCAGGGTATAAGGTGGACTAACATTCATAGCATAATACTCACTACTCACTACTCTTGAGTACTTTTAAAAGGGCTACTTTTTACTCCTACTTTGAGTAGTATTTAGGACAGGTACTCACATCCAGCAGTTGGTGAAAAAACTGAAGTTAAGACTGGGTTTTTATTTTAGAAACAAGTCATGTTTCTCCTTTGAGGCAAAAAGAAGGCTTGTTGCTGCCACTTTCATGTCAGTGCTGGACTACGGTGATGTTATATACATGCATGCATCCATTCAATGCTTGAAATTGTTGGATACTGTTTACCATGGAGCCCTTATAGGTTCATCACAAACTTTAGAGCACTTACCCATCATTGCTCTCTGTATGATCGTGTTGGTTGGTCGGCATTGTCCACCCGTAGGCATAATCACTGGCATATTCTTATTTATAAAGGTATTCTTGGTCTGCTTCCCCCATACCTTCAATCTTATATTAAAAAGAAAGGCACAGGACAATATTGTCTTCGTTCTGAGGACTTATTGTTGTTGTCCGTCCCTCATGTCCGGACTGAAATGGGAAAAGGGTCGTTTGTGTATGCGGCCCCCAGCGCATGGAATCAACTGCAAAATGTCTTAAATCTTCAGGAACCAGTTTCACTGGCTGCTTTTAAATTACTTTTAAATGATATAGAGGCTACACATACTGGCTGTAGTTGTTATGATTAATTATTTGGATGATCCTTGCTTCTATGTTTTATGTTTATGCTATA